AGGGGAATAAAGATTAAAATAAAGGTAATTAAAGAGGAAAGGATATAGAAACTCAATTTGGGAACTATTTTGGGATTTTAGAGATTTTCGGGATTCTTAGATAAAATAATCGATATTTTTACGGGTTTTGTTATAGATATTTTTATCGATATTTTTTATCAATTTTGTTATCAATTTTGCTATCGATATTTTCGGAACTTACAGATATCGATTTTATCGATTTATTTTTATCGATCCTGTTACCGATATTTTTATCGATTTTGTTATCGATATTTTTATCGATTTGTTATCGATTTTGTAATCGATATTTATAACCATTTTGTTAGCGATATTTTTTATCGATTTTGTTATGGAATTTGTTATCAATTTTGCTATTGATATTTATCGATTTTGTTATGGATTTGTTATCGATATTTATCATTTTTGTTATGGATATATTTATCGATTTTTTTATCGATTTTGTTATGGATATTTTTATCGATTTTGTTATCGACTTTGTTACCGATTTTGTTATCGATATTTATCGATTTTGTTATCGATATTGATCGTTTTTTTATTGATATTTATCGATTTTGTTATCGATATTTATCGATTTTGCTATAGATGTTTATCGATTTTGTTATGGATATTTTTATCGATTTTGTTATGGATATTTTTATGGATATTTTTATCGAATTTCTAATAGATTTTGCTATCGAAATTTTCATCATATTTTTCATCGATTTCGTTATCGATATTTTTATCCTTTTTTTATCGATATTTTATTGGATGTTACTATCGGTTTTGTTTTCGATAGAGTATAAAGATTAAAATGAAGATAAAGGACAACAGAATAACATAAATGTAATAAGAATGAACAGGGGTAGAGGGAGGGATCTAGATAAGAAAAATACAAAAATATGACCTTAAGCAAAAGCAGATGTATGTATGTATGTATGTATATATGTATATTGGTTATGAGACAAAATAGATATGTNGACAAAAATATGACCTTAAGCAAAAGCAGATGTATGTAACTATGTATGTATGTATATATGTATATTGGTTATGAGACAAAATAGATATGTATGTAACGTAAGTTTCACTTCTCCAGTGTGGCCCAGGCGCACTTACTTTTTTATAGCAAAAATCTGCCAAAATGAAATGGGTGTCTGCATTGACCTTCATTAAAAAACCAGACTTAAGTTAAGTGTGGATCAGGACACCAGAGAAATTTGCCTAAAATCAGGACAAATCCTGGGTCTTTAAACAGCGGTTCCACAACAACCAAATTACGTTGTTCGCTCACTCAATTACGAACGCCGAATTACCCTGTTTACACGACACATTCGTAATTCACTTAACACCTCTGTTTCTTGTTCTCTGCTTACTGTTATTTACTGTGTTGTTTATTTTGGATTTCAACGATGGAAAAAAAGCTAAATCAATAGTTTTAACGAAGCGATTCTTTTAACGTTTCGCAGACGTAGGTTATCAAAGCATGGTTAATGTTTGAAATGGTGGTGATGTGTGTGTTCTATGTGTTTTGACAGCTGTTTTCGATAACACTTAGAGAAGACAACAATTTTTTCGTGATTCGCATGGTGATTGGATCTGAATTAGGGATGGGAAATTCGATTCCGATTCCCCTCCAGAATCGAAGATTTTTTTGAAGTAATCGATTTTAGCGAATCGATTCTAAATTTTCGGAATCGATCGAGAGTCGATTCTGAGAACTCTATTCTCTTATTTTTCATACATCTTTAGATACGCGTTAGTTGTTAGAATTGTGAAATTTCTGGCGTGACTAATATAAATATTAAGTAAGACTAATTGGCGCATATTCATAGAGATGCTAGAAAAGAATGAAAGAAAAAATGTTAAGGAGAGTATTCAAATTTATTTACTTTCCATATCAAACAGTGCCGCGAAAATATTTTTTCAACAAATTTATTATTAAAACTCTTGTTACAATAATTTTAATGGATTCATTATAATAGCATTTTTAGTTTGGAATTTTAGTTTCTCTCTTTTGAACAACGACTATATTGTCAAATGATGAATAGCTTTTACCCCTTTTAAAGTTACTATTTTCTATTTTTCACAAAAAAATTCAATTGCTTACTAAGAGATAGTTTTGAATTGTGCAATTTTTTTTTTTGTTTTTCGACCACATCCATTTATAGATACATAAAACACGATTGAGAGAATACAAAGGTTGCGCCGATCTCGGACCGCTATTCCGCTCTTAACGAATTTGACAGAATCGTTGTTTGCATGACGTCACACTGGTGCAACTTGTTTACATTTTCCTTGCAACATTTTTTCTTCTTCCTTTCTTGCTCACGTTTTGGCAAAAGGAGCAGGAGCTACGAGCTTTAAGGCGCCTAGTTACGAAGTTAGAAGACTTCGTTGGGAGAACCGCTGCGGTGTTCGATTGGAAGATTGATGCAGGCAGGATTGATAAGCGCAAGCGTTTATACCAAGTGCAGTTCCCATGCCCTGGAAGGTTCCTGTGCCTGAAATGCCTGAAGCACAAGAAAGATCAGAACTGAGTAAGTCTGCAAGAAATAAATATTTTCTTACAATATTATGCCCACATAGCCACGTCAGGACGTAGATTTACACTGATATACATGCATACGCATGAGAAGAAAACATTAAATCATTTTTTTATAAGTGCCGGTTGTTTTTTAGAATTAAATATTTAAATAAGAAAATAAACTCGCAAAAACATAGGGCGAATGAAAACAAAAAAATGTTTAAGGCAGTTTCATAAAAAAATTATTTCATTTAATTACGTGGTTTCCTTTATGAGATATTCGTTTCTGTCCATATGTACATGTGCATATAAGATGAGAATGCGGTTAAAATTCTTTAAAGGTAATATTGAACTAATTCTTAAAATTAGTATACATATATACATACATATGTATGTATTTATGCTGATGCGTTTCCGTGGTGAAATAATAAAACAGCTTTCTCGCTTTAATTTCCTGAAATTCGGTTATCGTATACAAATTTTTAAAGGCAAATTTTCAAATAAGAGAGTGTCAAATCTTTTGTCTTGCTCTTATTACTACACCTGGTATAATTTCACCATGATGCATTTTAATTGATGCTAATTTGTAGCAAACATAGCCCTCGCAGCGCAAAGGGTTAATTAATGAGAGTTCGAGCTAGCTGTCACTTCTGTGTACCTTATTAAATATGCCTTGGTGGAAACATCGTTTTACAGTCGCCAACGAGCGGCTGAACGTATTCATTAGTTCGCACAGCCCATCGAAGGCGTGTGATATCAGAAAATTTTTGGAAGAATTTGAGATAATCGGGGAAAGAACTCGGCTTAGTAAAGACTTCTAACCTTGGTGTTGGTTGATTTTTCCGACAGGGTGGTAAGATGATTTACTTTGGAACGAATTTCCGTCATCCCTTGTCAAGTTTGGTTTGCAGACAAACCGGTTTCGGCATTGTGCCATCTTCAGTGTCATTTTTCGTTCTGTCTGGTTCGAGTTTTTGTCCTTAATTTATGTTCATTTATCTTAGGTAATGTGATTTTCGTCGATGATTAATTATTAGAAATGCCATGGTGTCCTTTTTTATTTCAGAAGCAGGTAATAGGTTGGTAGGTTCGCTGTCTCGATATTAACATCCGTTATGTTGCCTATGTATGGTTTTTGCCTGCAGGTAGGTAAAAGTCGGTGATTTTTGTCCTGGTGGTACTTTGTGGCGTGTTCGGAGTGTCCATGCCTGTTGTTTTCTTGTCATTTTTCTTTTTCTCGTAAATTAATTTTAAGGGTTCGAATATAACATCCGATGCGGTATTTGTTTGTTCATTCGACGATTCAAAAACTCGTTAAACAGTAGGCGAATTATTCTTTCGCTCACATTTATATTTGATATAATAAGCGGTTCAATTGATTCTCCTTATCTACTTGGGCGTATTCACTTCAATATTTCCATTAGGAACCTCGAAATCATAATTTTTTTCTGGAACGAGTAAGAAGAGCTTATGCTTCTAACTCTCCCCTTCTAATAGCTATGAAAGAATTTAACTTGCTCTCAAACCCTTGTGCGATTGATTTTTCTTTAATGAAATCTAGCTTTAAGTTATTATTAAATTAAATGTTTATGTAAGTACATATTTATAAGTGTCTAATAGCCTGTATGAAATCTTGCGTTTCTAGATTATATAAAATAAATATAATATCGTTCAAAAAATAATTTTTGATAATAAATAATTTGGAAGTGGCATGTTTAGTTATTTATGATAACCGGCCAATTGAAACACTAAAATTATGTAATTAAATTTAAAATTTGAATATGGACGATTTTAGGTTTTTTGAAACTTCTGCTATAATTTTCAGACAGTTATAGCGTTTAATATGTAATAAATAGCAAAGAACAGTTATAACTTTTATAACAAAAAATAATTGGGTGGTTCACAAGGTGTCGTACTTGTCGTATTGTTGTATGTTGTAAAGTTTTTACTTGACTTGAAATCAGCACCAACTATTTTTTTATTGTGTGAAATTTCATAATAAAACTTGTATGTTAGCTTGAGATTTCCTTAAATATAGTTTTAGCCGTTTAAAGTTTATGACATACAACAGTACGACAGTATACAACACCTTGTGAACTCCCTAAATATTTTTTATTATTTTTTACCGAGTTTTATGTTATCTTAGAAATCAATTGTGTTTGTAGTTTTTTTTTTCTTGTTAAATAATCGTGATTTTTGTAAATCTGTGTGCTCAGAAAATAATCGTTATTAATTACATTTTGTTTTTTTCTGGGTTCCTGATAATTTTTTCAATTTTCCTCTAAAACAAAAGCAACACTCTTTTAACCGGAAAATATAAACCAACAATATTGTGACCTTTTAATCTAACGTGACTTTAATCCAACGTGCTTCCTATATCCTAATTTTTTCAGGCAGGTATTGCACAATTTCAAGTATATTCAAGGATAAAATTTTTAAAGAACATTTTCAATACCAAAAAATTTAGTCTGTTTTAATGCTACAGAATTTTTTTTAAATTTAATATCCTAGTGCTTTTCAAAGCTGCACTGATTTTTTAAATAATTTTTTGAAGTACCTAATCATATTTTCAAATATCAAAGTCTTTTAAAAAATCCTGACGCTCAGTAAGAAAATCTAAAAATGCAGCTTTACTATATTTGGTCCATAGTTTCGGGAATACATATATTGATTTTTTTGTGTGCAAAATTGGCTGTAACACGCTTTTATCGGAATTAGCGTGAAATAATCTAACGACTGGCAACTTCGCAGAGCCTTGTTCTTAATACCCGTTCTGCGTTATCGTGAAGTGATAAAAATAACACCTTCACACGCATTTATTTCGGTGTTAATTTTATACTTTCCACTTCATTTCACGATAACGCAGAACGGGAATTGACCCTCTGTACTTTATTTGATGCTATTTTCCACAAGTGAGATGCCTACATATACCTACAAAAATATATTTCACATGCGAAATTGCCACAGAGTGGCAACTCTGACATTACTGCACGCACCCGATATCATATCTATCTGGCAACATCATAACTCGTACTTGTTGTACACCCTCCGCCCGTGCACCACTCACCTGTGTCCAAACAATCTCCGGCAATTTCATCCCAGGCGAAATCGTAGGCATCTCGTTTATCGTAATTCTCATCCGAGCGATCGTAAAGACACGGATGTTTTTGTACGGCGCGGCACAAACGAACATTTGCATCATGCTTGACTGGGTTGTTCATCGCGACCAGCTTAAACAAGCAGAAAATACACTAAACACCGAACCGATTTTATGTTTGCGTGAAAGTTACTAGCAACAAAACACTGTTGGCTATCACACGCGAATATAAAGCAAGCAAACTTTCCCCATGCACAATTGTTATTTGCAATAAATTTCCACAAACACTTTTGTACACAAGCAGCAATGGACCCAACAAATTCCACAATAGCTAAAATGTGTTTTGGTTGTGTCAAACTGACAGATAAGCGACGCTACGATACGGCCACAGTTGCCAAATGCTCTGCCGGATTGCTTTGTTGCTTATGTATGCATGTATGTAATATAAACAAGCACGCATATATGTAAATGTTAGTGAATTTGTGGCTTTGTGCAAAGTATTTCGATAATTCTGCTCGCTTGCACGCACTGGCAAATTACTTCGATTTTAGCGCTTGCTTTTTGCTTGAAAATGCCCGATTTCTGCTTCTACCTGTTCTTTGCCTTCGTTTATCATTCGTTTTATGTTCGTCGTTTCAATTCACAGCTGCTCGTTGCTTTGTATTTTATTTATAATTTCTTGTTCTATCAGCACTGCCAAGTCGGAGTTTCGGGACATGTTGCTGCTGTAGCGCTTTGAATTTGAAGCGCAACGAGTCAGTTCTGCCAGCTGGCAGTGCTTTGCGTCGCTGTGTTGGTAGATGGTGAACGATTGTTTACAACAGTTTGATATGTACTGTAGTGATGTGGCGTTTTCAAAAACAATGTAGCACAACGATGACGTAAAAAAACATACCTGAAGTAACGTATGGCATGAATATTCGATTGAGTGTGGATCGTGATATAGTTGGAACCTATAGGTTATTCGAACTTGCCTATTATAAAATTCAAAAGCAAAGACCAAAGACGTACTGCTTGCTATGGAAATACCGCAAGAGTCTTTTGGCAACGCTATTAAGAAGAAATGAGATAGATGCATATGTATGTATGTAGTATGCATCAAGGTTGTTGCGAATATTCGCATTCGCATTCACAAACGCGGAGCTTCCGCACTAATTTTAACATTCGCATTCGCTTTCGCATAATCAATGCGGAGCTTTTGCGCATGCTAATGTTGTGCAAGTGCACCGATAAAACGTATGTATAGCAAACAAAATGACAAATTGTACATAGACAATATTTTTGCCTGTGGTCGTGGGAGTATTTGTGTAACAAAACTGGTCAATTGTCATATTTATCAATTTTGATAAAAATATCTTGAAAAATATTATTTCTTGAGCTATATAACCAAGCTATCAATGGGCAGTCATACAAGTTCCAACTTCTACTTAACATTTGACGTACGTCAAAGAGAAGATAGTCTTTTTAACAACATTTTTTGTTTTCTCTTATTTAAATACCTACATTGGTTTCTTTCTTTATTATGATTTTTTTGGACCAACCTAAAAAAAAAAAAATACTAGACACAAAAGAAGAAAGTGTGCACTATAATTCTTAACCAAATTTTCGTGATTTGCTTTTGATGTTATATAGGATCGTTATCGTATTTTATATGTAGTAAAAACAACTTTTAGAACTTTTGAAAATCAATATTTTTGGATCGGAAAACTCAGGTTCTCTTCAGGAGACTTCCAAAGCTAATAGCCGATTGTATAATTAACCATTTTTTAATAATAAAGGTTTTTTATTGGTCACCCCATTGCATTTATTCGGACTTTTGGCAGTTTTTAGCGGACCTATAAAATAAAGTTACTATAAAAATATGGTTAAATAAACAGTTGGTTATTATTATTGGGGGTCTCCAGAAGAGAAACAGAGTTTTCCGATCGAAAAATATAGATTTTCACGAATTCTATATGATTTCTACGAAAAGTTGTTTTATTCTTATATGTATAAAATACATGGAAAACTTTGAGCGCTTTGAGCGACCTCTAAATATTTTTTGATTTCAAAATAAAAAATAAGGGTATGTATATGTTTTCCATATAGAACAATCATAAGGGGTGAGAGCATAAAAGGTCTGACTTTACTTTTTCACATTCATTTTTGGACCACACTAATGTAAATACGCATCGATTTCGGTACTGCACCGTAAATATTCTCAGTGATATGCAGTATCAAAATTCAGTATGTACTGGAGATACCACGCTTCTTGTTTGATTTGGCTTCAGTTGCTCTTATAAAGACCTGTTAAAATTTTTTCCTTAATATCGTTAATGTACAGACATCGACCTTTCACAATTTTATTACTTGTATAGAAGACAAGGAAACAGGGTACACAATTTTTGGACCTTAGCTACGTAAATGGCAAAATCTTAACAATCAGTGGTACGGGAGCCTTACATACATACCTTATTCAGCTCCTGTCTGTTCCAGACTGAAAGCTTTTCAATAGTTCTAGAGTTTCTGAAAAGAAAACAAACGTTCTGCAAAACTGCAACGAATAAAAGTTTTTTTTCGATACCTACTTAGTACTTGGTTCAGAAGAGTCGATAACAAAGTTACTTGGTATCGAACTAATAATATCGAATGTGTACCACAGAACGTAGATAATAAGAAGGGACAACTCGTTATAATTGTTGCGAAAGTGCGCAACAGGGGCATGCCTTCTCTTTTCATCCAATCAAAAAACGTACTAGGGCAAAAAGGAAGGCACGCCCCTGTTGCGCACTTTCGCTACAATTATAAAGAGTTGTCCCTTCTTGTTATCTACGTTCCATGTGTGTACTTGTATTTACTCGTATCGTGCGAATAGCCCCTCAATGTACTTTAATTAAATATAACGATTCAAGTGGAAGGCGAAACGACTAAAACCAGCTTAGTCCCGTCTCTAATATCTACAGCTTTGAGATAAGCAAAAAGAAGGTTTATATTTAAGGTACAGCGGGAACTTGCACATACAGTGAAACCCGCTTACAATCTAAAACACTCTGCTTGGTCTTCAAATGGTAAATTTTGGTAATTTTTGCGTATTAGGGTTATTTTTGTATTGATCAGAGATATAGGATAGCTCTCTCCTCCCGTCCACCACTAGTTGAAATCAAACAGAGGTAGAAAAAGAAAAGAAAGAAGTGCTTCAGTGGCCACTTGGCTATACGAAAAGATATTC